AGTTGCCATACTGACATAAATGAACATTTGCACGATATTCTAATTTTTCGAGTTTCACCTGTACCTTTAACACCATCAAACAACAACATCTGCCTATCCCAGGTCCTTGGGAAGGTGGATAAAAATGCCAAATCCAATCTAAACATCTGGCTGACTGTGCAACCAACCATAATAATATATTTTTTAAAAGCCATCTTGAACATCAAGTGAACAGGAAAGCAATTTTCTGGCATAAAATAAATTATTTGAAATCATGTTTGCTTTGCTGGACTGGGTTCAATAAGTTATTTTTTTCCCTATAAAGCAGAGACCATTTGAGTGTCTTTAATTGCAAATGTTCCCATTTTTCAGTACAGATACTATAGGAACCATACGCTTGGTCTAGGAGCTAATTTAAAGAGAATGTTTAAAGAGAAGAGACACAGTATGGTCTACACAGAGGCCCCAAATTCATCATCTGGTTAAGTTTTCGAGAAACAGAGGACACGTCAAGTTATTAATGTATGATCTGGGAGTTTAAAGATTTCCACAGATGCAAGAGATGGCAGGGGTCTGGTACAGATATTTCAAAAGTTCTCACCTAAATTGTTCCTTGGATTTTGATTAACCCATCTTGTCTCCAAGATGGAACTAATACATTAGAAATTCACCATTGTTCTGTTTTATTTCCGTATTGTGTGTATAGGGACAAAGCACTCTATCTTGGATTGATTCCGCCTGGCAGTGGCTCCCTAGGATTTCAAGCAAAGGGTTTTCACATCACCCAGAATTTCAATGGCATTACTCAGGACTGAACGTTGTCTCTTCTGCATGCAAATATGGCCTCCACAAGTGCTCTTTCCTGGCTGGTATTACAGAGCTGTGTGTCTGCACAGCGGCATCTTCCAGTCCTTGGAATCAAGGCAGGATTTTTTTTTTTTTTATCTTGGGCTCCGGTATCCTCCTTGTTATGAAGAAGAGAGGATTTTGACAGGTGCAGCTTGTCATGAGGGATATGAATCCTTGATTTTCCGGATGGGGTTTATTTATTTATTTATTTGGAAAGATTTATATGCTTCACACATTGCACCAAGCTAGAGTTTATTTAATCACTATGTATTGAATAACCCACAAGTGGCTCTGTTTATGCAGGGTGTTACACCACTTAGCATGATTTACAAGCCACAATGACTGTGTTCGGATTTTTCACTAAGCCGTGGATTTGTTAAACCATTTTTATTGACTAAATGGTCATTGACAGGTTTGCACAGTCTGTCTATGCCCAAAGCTGGTACGGGCAACCTGTGGCCCAGGGTCATCTGCAGGGAGCGTCAAGAAGTTGAAGACAGCAGTCGCTGTCACAGGATGTGCTTAAAGAAAAAATGGGGCGCTTCAATTATGTGGTCATGGCTGCCATATGACTTTGTGAATGCTCTTGCTGTGGCCAGTCTCTTACCACCCCAAGACTATGTTAACAAAATCTCATGGCGAAGACAGCCAAATTTTGGCAGCATATTTTTCATTCTTTTAAGCGTGATGGGAATAGGAGCAGGGGCCCTCCAGGAGGTAAACACTTTCACCCCGCTCTTTACCCACACTCCCAAATCTCTGAAAAATGGTGATGAAACTGCACTGCTGAAATTCCCTGCCAAATTTTAGCTGTGTGATTTAGGACTTTTGTTGGTTATTGATAGGCTTCCAGGTACAATTCAAACTACGGTTTTAACCAATAAAGTTCTTCGTGACTTGGCTACTAAGAATCTCTAGGACTGTGTCCTTCAAGTAGAACTGGTTCAACCAATTTGGTTCTTCCAGGAAGGGATGCTTCAATTCTATTTGCAAGGATGGTGTTGTGCCCCCAGAGACAACCTTTCTCTGTTGTGGCCCCTCTCCTCTCGAACAGCCTCCCCCAGAAAATCCTATCTTTCAGATAGACCAGTATTTCTCAACATTGGGAACATTAAGATGTGTGGACCTCAGTTCCCAGAATTCCCCAGCCAGCATGGGTTGAAGCTGAAGTCCACATATCTTAAAGTTGCTAAGTTCAAAAATCACTGAGATAGATGATCAAAACAGAGTTCGATTAATAGAGCTTTGGAGTAATCATAAGAATTTTAATTGTTCTTATTTTTGTGGAAACCTCCAGAAATCATGCTAGAATGTGGTACAGAAGAAATAAAAAAGTGAACAAACTATTCATTCTAGATCTTCCTGTCTTTTGGAGCAGCATAGAATAAACCTACTTAATCTCTGAATGACAGCCTTTCAGAAGACAGTGATCCTTTCTCTTCAGTTTTCTTTCTGTTGAGATAAACAAATCCTGCTCTTTCCATTATTCTTTCCAAGAATTAATTTCCAGGCTTTTCTTTATCCAGCCACCTTACCACATCATTCATAATCACCTTGAAGTTGGGCAGTATCTAAATCTAATTAAATCAATAATGATCCATTTTGTCAATATCAGTTGAAAAAAAACGCATTGCTTGAAATCTGCTTCTGATTCTTTGGTCCCTTGTCACCCTATGCTGGCAGCCTTCAAACAAGCTGATCGTTTGAAGGAAAAAATTCCACAGCAAAAATTTGGCAACACATATGTTTTTTCTTCTTTTGCCAAAAAATAAAGGTATAAATGAAATCCCGAAGGCCTTGAGATGCTAATAGTTCTCTTCAGACCTTTAATCCTCATTCCCAAACCTGGACAAATGGTAACAAAATGGCCACATTTCACTATGCCATTTCTTTATAAAGGGAGAGAGAGAGAGAAAAAAAATTATGGTGGAAATAGGAATCCAGTCCCTCTTTGGGAGCGAGACCCAAATAACAATCAAATGTAGATTTAATCACCAATTTGTCAGGCAGTTTGCTCTTCTTCCTCACCTTGGTCACCCTCCTACCTTGTAGCTGTTCCAGACAGATAAATGCTTTCAAATTGTCCATTCCAGTAATAAAACCCCACTTCTATTTGCTTTGGAAAAAACTCTGAGGACTGGTCACCAATGAATAATTTGGAAAAGAAATCAACTTGAGGAATGCTTGTTTAGTATAGCATTTGCAGCTGATTAAAAAGGAGCTCCAGATCAGTTACTCCTGTAAGCAGGGCTAAGCAGTTTTTCCTGTATCTTAGTGTTGCAAGAGGCATTGGCAGATGCCTTGTGCGTAAACAATTCAGAGAACTTTTGCTATTCAAGAGTTTGGCTCACATTTTCCTTGAATTTGGCAGTTTTTCTCCTTTGAGTAAGGAACGCCAAGACACATTCATCTGCCTTTCTTTGAACTGTCCATGCAGTTTGATTTCATTTTATCTATGGGATGTTCATTTTATTTATTCCCAAAGCTCCTGCCAGAAGTTAAAATAGTTTAGAGAGGCAATTGGCACATTTCCACACTTCTGAAGGGGGTCATAAACCAGACAATGTTTTGCTTTTCACAACGGTATGAAAAGCAACGTATCTCACAGGCAGCTTCCTCCAACCTGGTGCCCTTCAGGACTTTGCCAGCTAGTGCAATGTAGCTGAAGGCTGCCCGGTTGAGGTCATCTCTTATAGGGTTGATGGCAAAATCTGCTCTGTAGACCCCAAGCTATGGCTAGCATGTGCCAAATTTAGGACTTAAACCCAAACTTTAAAGTAAAACCCAAACCTGAATGTTTTAAACAACAGTTATTTATTCTGTAAACATCCGCTAAAAGTACTTAATGTTTGCATAATCTGGAACCCCCCCTCCCCCCAATTTAGGATATTTCTGCTAGAGGTAATAAGCAACCAAGATTAGTAGCCACTGATAGATCTATTCTCTATACATTTATTCAGTCCCTTTTTTAAAAGCATCTAAATTTGTGGCTATCAGCGTATTTAATGATGCAATAGTTTTTAACCAGTTTTAATGTTGTAATTCTAGTGCTTTTGACACAATACACTTCAACTGCTTCTGGTCCAGAACCCAAGGTTCTATAAACCAAGTCAACCAAGTGTAAAGCTAGTTACACTTTTTAAAAAATCAGCTCCAGATTCACAGCTGATTTTTCAGCATTCTTTGAAAAATGTTTTAGTTATTAATTTATATTATTCTTATGGCCCTCACTTGTATTCAGTAAAGATGTAGGAAAAATGCAATAAAATCTTGATTTAACAGACCATTGAGGGGGAGGGTGCATCTGTTAAATTTGAATGTTCATTAAATCTGAATTTATGTCATTGCATCAATGTATGTCACATGTGTTATGTAACTGATGTGAATAGCATAATTTTCAATAAAAATTTGATTTAATGGATTAACAATTCAAATGAAAAGTTTGTCCACTGCATCCAAAGCCAATGGATACAATTTTGGATTTGTGTGTCCATTAAACCAAGCTTTTATTTTTAATGGATTTTGTGTGTCGATTAAACCAAGGTTTTATTGTACACACAAATTGATGCATCCCTGCTCAACATATCTTGAGTGCATAGCAAAGCACTGGACAATGGAACAATTATCTAGTACTTTTAAATATCTTGATATGGTATGACCCAAGTGTCCCCCAGCATTATTGGAACTCTCCAGGATCTATCTGTCACATCTCCAGTTACAATGAGAAAGGCATCCTGCTTCAACATAAATGAGTTGTAATCTGCAAACTCCAATGTTTTTGAAGGAAGTACAATTTGATATCAATTGGCCCCAAGCTCTGTGAAATTAACTGATATGAACACATCTGCTGCATCTGGCCATTACAGTTCTCTGAAACAGGAAGTTATGAACCAAAACATCCTTTGTTTCTGGCCTCCTTTCCATCCTTCATTTGGATGTTGGCTTGTCATTATTATGATTCCCCAGCAATTTTACTGCTTGTTTTTCTGTGCTGGAATTTGCTTGTCCTGCTTCTTTTTCGTGTTCTGGTACACAGGTGCAGCCCACAGGAACAGAGACGTAATCCTCCGTGTAAACGTAGCGGCCGCCCGTGCAGGATGTGGTCCGGCGCAAGATGACAGTCGGCATAAACACTGGCGTACTTCGAAAATGGAGATTTTCTTCTCCATAATCACCGGTAAGACAGCCCTTACAAAGGCAGTAGGCTTCAGGAATGTACTTAGGATACCTGGTAGAATCGTAGGAGATTCTGTGCCAAAGGAAAAGAATAAAGACTCATTTTGGACATTCTGTTCCAATCCCCCACCTACCCACTGCTCCTGGGCTCCCCACTTCTTGGGTTTGCTTGAATGGAAAAGAGTACAGCAAAAGGTTGAGATGTTCTTTACATTATCATGCTGTTATCAAGCCAAAAGAAGAAAACAGCTGCAGTTCTTGAAGTCTGAATGCTTATATGTAGAAAACTACATATGTAAACTAACTACTGGACTATCATCTGGAATAATGTGAGCTTGCTGAAGATAAGTTACTACTATTTAGATTTCACCCGGCATCCTCTGCTCTACTTAAAGGCAAACATGACTGAGTTCCAAGAGGCTCACCCACTGCAGTTGCGGTAGCTGTTCCAATTACAACTGATTCAATCCACACACATTTTTGCCACATTGGAAGTGCATTAATAATGATGCAAGTCTGAAATTTGCACAAGCCTTCTACAATTTGGTTGCTATACAGGATGTCTGGAATTAGTAATTTAAAATATTTTTTCTGGAAGAATGCAGAAGGGGCAAAATAACGGTCACTACAGAATAGAAGTTGCAAAAACATTGGTTAACACGAATCTGGAATAATATTTCAGAATATTTGACTGTTTCCCTTAACAGACATTAAAGGGAGGGAGAAAACTTCAATTAAATATCCTAAATCCCTTAACACTTTTAAAATTCTCTGAGTAATGCCTAAAGCTAACACTGCATTTTTGAAGCTTTAATATAATGTATTTTTTATAGTTTGCGTTAGTCCGTTTTCAAACAAACATAAAATAATGTACAGTAAATGTATTTGAGGGATCGGCTCTACCCAGTTACAACTACCACTGGGTACAACTACAACTCAGGTCCAGCAAGAGAGGCATGTTGTGGGTCCCACCAGTGGGTTTCATCTGGTAGGACCCAGGAGATGGGCCTCTCCTGCTGCAACCCCTGCCCTGTGGAACATCATCCTGCCCCCCAAGATGAGACTGACCCCATCCTTGACATCCTTCTGGAAATCCCTTAAAACATGGCTATGTCAACAGGCTTGGGGATCTCAAGGTAATGGTGAACTATTGAGGTGGCTGCATTGCCTATAATATTAAATCCTCTCTGCTAATCTGGTAATAGTAAATACTAATGGATTTTTTTAATAGTGTTCATTCTATGGTTTGTTTTTATTGTACGCCACCCAGCGCCATGTTTTGTGAGATGGGCAGCTATATAAATACAATGAATGAATGAATGAATGAATGAATGAATGAATGAATGAATAAAATAAAATAAAATAAAAATGAATAATTTACCATACACAAATACTCAAGGGAAGAAAAACATTATATAAGCTTTAACGTCATGTAAGCTTTAAGCACTGTTTATAGTTGTACATTATCACTCCTAAAACATAAACTAGTTTAATTCTGATTTTTTTCCTCTGTATTTTGTTTTCTTCTATCATGTGACTTATTTACCTAAGCCATCTAAGTTAACTTTCCTTACAGACAAGCACCTCCACCATTCTGGTTTTTAGGCAATTAAAGTCCAATAGTAGAAGGAAAACAGGAAGATATTGAATTCTCAAGCATGCTCAACAGATGATCACTGGAAAAACTGGTTATAATTTATAGACTCCGGTTCAGTGTTTCGCAACCTCAACAACTTTAAGATGTGTAGACTTCAGCTCCCAAAATTCCTCAGCTAGCCAAAGTCCATGCATCTTAAAGTGCTGAGGTTGAGAAACACTGCTCTAATATATAAAGATCATGGCACATTTTATGCAGCATGGATGCAGTTCTGTTACCAATTTAAGGAAGAATTACCAGTTCAGGAGATGAAAACCTTATCATAGCTATATTTTTCAGATGTATTTTGTCCATCAATCATCTAAGATTTTACATGTTACAGATTTCTGTGAATGATGTTTGGGAATGACATCTTTAAGTGCTGCAACCGATCAGCATGAGAACGGAACTGGTAAAAACTGTAAGGTCACCTTAGGGCAGTGTTGGCTGGCTAGGGAATTCTGGGAGTTGAAGTCCATGCATCTTAAAGTTGCCGAGGTTGAGAAACATTGCCTTAGAGCTTCTAGCCCAGCTTTCTATTTAAAAATAACATGGAACACAATGATGCAATTTCAGTAAAAAATTCTATTGTGGATGCTTTTTAATGGAACACCAGTGAAAGGACTATACCATGTAACCCCATGCAAGTTTTGTGATGCATCTTTATTATTCAGGAATACAAATCTGGAGTTTATTTAAATCAGTGACATAGAATTGAAATAGTATTGAAGTTCATCTAACTGTACATACATAGAAGTAAGCCATCCTGCTAGTGAGCCAACAAATCCAAAGACTTATGTCAATCTTGGATCTGCTCATGTGGATGTTAATTGAAACTTTGCATCCTTTTGGTAAAATGTTGCAACTGAGTATGCTAACAACGCAGCCACATGGGCAGGAAGACCATAAGCCAAGAGAGTAATAAATGACAACCTATCAGACTGGGGGATCATCCAGAGAAAAGTGTTTAGATCTGGATTTATTTACCATCATAATTTTTAATAACCCAGAATCTAAACAAGCCAGCAAATTATATCTGGAGATGATCTTATAAGGGTTGCAGGCAAATCAGTCAGTAAAGGAGCAAAAGGGAATAAAGGCAGCAGAATAACATTGTAGGACAATTGATACGTGCAACTGAACTAATAGGAGAAGCATGCAGTTTTTCACAAACATGTTGTACAGTATTAGCATAGCAGAACAAGTGGCACTTATTTGGAACTTGCATATTTTTGCTAAATAAAAGGATAGCCCATAGAACATTTGATGCATGTCCCTGTTGAACTGGAACAGAGACAGCCCTGCAGCAGTTAAAGGATGGTAACTATGGGCTATTTTTGTTAATATCATTCTTATGGAAGTTTCAGTGGGGACAGAATAAAGACATTTGAACTAGTCCAGGAAATTGCATTTTGGGGATTTAGCAAATTACTGTGTAGAACAGGGAAAGGCCACTACTGGTCACTGAAGGAAAGAGAAAAGTGACCTCAAGGCCGTATCTTTAGGAATAGTCTAGTACATACAAGAAAGATACTAATCCTCAATGGACATTGTAGGAGGCGAGCCATGTTAGTGATCTGGGCAAAAAATCAGAAGGATTCTGGTAGCATCTTTTCCAACTAACACATTTTATTAAAATGCCTAAGCCTCTATAGATCTGACGTAGTGAGCTGCAGAAACAAGCAAACTTTATGGTAAAGGGATGGATGGTGAAGTCAATTTTCTGATGCCTTTTGGATGTGTTGGGACAATAATTCCCAAAACTGCAGCCAGCACAGCTGAAGGAAGGATCAGACATATAGAAGACCATTCTGCGGTATAAAGGGATGCGATTTATGCTCCTTTTAAACACTATTCAAAGTATAGGAACTTAATTCTAAAATTCCACCACTGAGAAAAGCTTTTTGATGCTAAACTAAGCAAAAGACTAGCCACAAAGCAAATGTTTGTTAGTAACCATTTTAAAAGGCAGCGTTTGCATTTCCTATGCAGGGAACACAGAACACAAGGGCTGCTGTTCACACTTTATTATTATTCCCAGAATTCACCTTTTCAAAATTAGACACTATCTTAGCTGTAACACAGTCCAGCATTTGTTCTGGACTGTATTTTACATGTTTGCAAATATAGAACTGCACCTGAAACCTTATGAAAAAGGGCTCTCCGTTTCTCTCATCTTTATTTCCTTACATTTGGAAGCCAAGGGATGACAAGGAAACTAATGTTCATGAACCTTCACACATTTCTCTCATTTCTGT